ACAAACCTGTTTTGATGCTGCACTCTGTGGGAGAGTGGCGGTGTATCCTTCCGCTTTACCGGATGGTGGCCGCTGACTGCCTCGGTGGAGTGTCCGCTGTCTTCCTAGATTTTTATAAATCTCTTTTTGTACAAACATGAATGAATGAACTGATGAAGAATTATAGATGGGTTTTTCTGCATTTTTCTTTAAAGTGTTGATTCTTTTCTATGTTTGGTTTTCCAGATGAAAGGAAATGATTTCCTTTTTTTTTTTTTTAAAGCTACCTACTTGCTCTAGGGATGTTAACAAAACAGCACACATAGAACTATTTTTTTACCCTTAACTCATAGCCATGGCTTAGTTTGTATCTAATCATCAGTATTCTCAGAAATTAGTCAAAACACCTATAGAATTACCTTTAAATCTTATGTTACTGTGTGTGGCAAATCTCTGTTGTGAAAGGAAACTATCCAACATTTCTCTACTAGTTAATTACATAATTATGAATTGTCATCATTCTCATATTACCATCTACTAGTATACTAACTTTTTGAACATATACAGTTATAATTTTTTAACATCCTTGTCTGCCAATTCTAATATCTGTTGGTTCTGGGTCAATTCTGATTGACATCTCATTAGGAGTCATGTTTTCCTGTTTCTTTGCATGCATGATAATTATGGATGAATTCCAGGCACTCTGATTTTACCTTACTGGGTACCATTTATTTTTGAGTTCCTACAAATATTCTTAAAGCTTTATTCTGGGAACACAGTCATTTGGAAATAGATCATTGGGTCTTACTTTTAAGATTCGATAGGTAGGACTACAGTGGTAATCACATTAGGTCTAAATATTCTCTACTAAGGAGATAAGATGGATCCTTTTGTATACTCTACTGAATGCCCAGAAAATCATGAGGTTTCTAATTCTGGCTAGTGGGAACTGGCACTACTTTTATGTGCCAGGTACTGTTCCTCTACCTCTTTTGGAAGGTTCTTTCTCCAGCTTTGGGTAGTTTTCCCACATGCATATGATAACCAGTACTCAGCCCCTATTGATGTCTGAAATATTCCCTCTGGGCAATTTTCTGCTTTCTGGTACTCTGTACTAGAATCTCAGCTGTCTTTGACTTTGGACTCTCAGCTATACCTCTTTAGCTCAAGGGACCTGCTAGGCTCCACCTTAACTTCTCCTTGATGTGCCGCCAGGGCAATTGTAGTATTCACCTCATTTATTCACCTACTCTCAGGGATCACTCTGCGTAGGCTACTCTAACTGAAGTCCTTATTCAAAGACAGTTTATAGGACATCAACAACAAAATAAAAATATCTATGGAGAGGTTCCAGAAATCTGTCTTAAATCCACTAAATCTTTCCCACTGCCAAATTTTAGGAGATCCTTGAGGATAAGATCTAGTAAAACCGGGCTGGGGTTGGGCTCAGTGGCAGAGTACTTGCCTAGCATGTGTGAGACACAGGGTTCAAATCTCAGCACTGCATAAAATAAAGGTCCATCAACAACTAAATAAAATAAAATTTAAAAAGATTCCTATTTAAAAAAGATCTAGTAAAACTAGATTAAAACTAGTTAAAACTTCAAATAGATACTTACTTAAAATCTTTATTGCTTCATTCTAAGTGTTACAAATACATATTAATAATGGTAAAACTTCAAATAGATACTTACTTAAAATCTTTATTGCTTCATTCTAAGTGTTACAAATACATATTAATAATGGCATTTGTTTTCTCTGGATGGACAGAGCATTTGTCTGTCAAGAAGCCGAATTAACAATGGAGAAAAAAATGTTTGGATTTTGTGCTTCCTGCCAAAGATGCTCTATCTAATGATACAAGGAGGGACACATTAAGTTAGAACTGTTATTCATGATTTGAATTATCTAAACTTTGCCCTTTAATTGGGATCCCATTGTTCACATTACTCTCAATCCTCTAGAAAAACAGAAAAGGTCATAATAGAATTAGAAAGTTATATGTACTAGAGAACTCAAAGTTCTCCAAAAAACTTCCAGAAGCAGATGATCTATAGCATGTGACTGCTAACCTAAGATCCTTAGAATAAGCAGGTGCCTGAGACAGTCGGAACAGGATTCTTTTGTCCTATTCTCTTACATATCCTCATCATACTCTCAAATATTCTTCTGGTCATACTCTTTTACTCTGCTCTTTAGTGATTTAGGGTTATATAGTTCTGAGATTTAGTTTTCATGTCTCCCTTACTAATAACAACTATAAGTTTCACTACTAATTATCATCAATCTACTATAATTTCTTTCTCCCAAGCCAATCTAAAAAAATTAAACAAAAGGATGTTACAGTAAGTTTATCAATAATGATACTCTTTGATGACAATAAATGAGGAAAAATGACCTTGTTCTGGATGAGGATATATATATTGTTGGCATATATATATGACCATCATGACAATAATCATAGCAATGTGTTTACAATCCATTTACAGTGATCATCTCTCTTGTGTGGTAAATGGGATCTTTTTTCCTTTATGAAATTCAGGATCAAGGCTTTCAGTATCAATAGCCAGGACCAAGGCTAATTTTTCTATTGGACTTTTGGCTAGACTGTTTCAAGACCATTTCTCCCCAATAGCCTCAACTGATTCTATCTCCTTAAGATATATAAAAGATAAGATAAAGAATCCAAAGAAACAGGTATCTTTTTGAGTAATGAATCCTTTGGATGTTAATAGGAATTCAACAACTTAAGGAGATCATCAAAAATATGTTCAGTCATTTTGGCTGACCCAGTAAACAACAGAACCCATGCCCTGGAGATGTAGCAAACAAGTTAAAAGCCCTTAAATAAATGTCTTAGTTAATTTTTGCTTTCTTTAAACAAAATATCTGAGAGTATCAATTTATAAAAACCAGAAATTTATTTCTCACAGTTCTGCAGCCTTGGAAGTCCAAAAACATGGTGTTGACAGGTTAGGCATCTGGTAAGAATCCTATTACCTGCTTCCAAGATGGTGCCTTGTTGCTGATGTCCTCTGTAAGGGCTCAATGCTCTGTCATTACATGGGGGAAGGTAGAAAGGCAAAAGAGAACTATGCTAATTACCTCCAGCCTTTTCATGAGGGTTCTGCCCTCATTACTTAACAATTTTCCCAAAGGCCCCATCTCTCAATACCACCCCAATGAGGATTAAATTACAACATGAATTCTGGAGGGGACACATTCACACCATAGCATCAAAGTAATTATAAATAATTAAATAGTCACAATTTTTTTTCTAACCAGAGAGGTTAGAAAATAGTTGTTTAATGTTTGTTGTTCAGTCTGAAATGCTTCTATGGAGCTACTGTCCTGGGATATGAAGAACAAAAGGGAGAACAAAGAATAAAATGTTCCCACCTTCTGGGAAGAGATTGATTGTTTGAAAGCCATGTTAAAAAGTAGTTATCAACACCAATTTTAAACTTGTTCATTAGATCAGTGACAACTTGCTCTAGTGTATATGCTTTCACATAGCTGAACAATGACAGTCTCTCACTTCTGAAAGTCAGACAAACATGGCTCTGAATGCCCATTCAATGAACAATAGTATCACCTAACCAACTATATACATCTACTGATAGTAGAACCTACCCAAGCTTCTGAAAGTCTTCAAATCCTTGAATTCCATGTTCCTCCCAATCCTGTATGAGATAAACAGTGTGCTCTGCTCTGGGAGGAAATAGGCCTGAATAACATAGTTCTCTCTTTTACTATACAGTAAACAGTATATTAAGTTTTACCTTTTGTTTCAGGTAGTGAGTGGTGGGCTCTTCAACCTTTGACAGTCTTACATTTGATATTTCCATCAAATATATAATTGTATTATATATCAAACTAATTTCCACCAAATTACATAATCATAAACTTCATTTAGGTCTTCATATCAGCAGCTACCATTACTTAGATATTAAAGTAGGCATTATACCAACTCATTTATATATCTTAGGTCTGCATCACCTAATCCAGCACTCAATACCTGACAAAGTTTAACTTATTAATATTGTAAGGGAAATCTACATTGATCGGGCAGTTTCCTTAAATGGAGCATACTGACATGCTCAAAAAGTTTTCTTTCAATGATCTAGGAAGTTGTAAATATAAACTTTGAGATATGTTATTTAAGAACATAGGTATTAGTCTTATTAAAGATAACACTGGTGATTACTCAGTATAGAAATGTACATGTTTATAAAGCAGTGGAAGAGTTTTTACCATTTTCCAGGTGACTTTTTCCAGGAATGATCTACTGGATATGTAAATGTAGTACTACTAGTACTGACTCAAAGTATTATGTCATTTAACACCTCACTAAATACTTTTTGATAGAATGTAATAAGAAATAGCCAAATATCATGCAATGGCATTTCCTATTATAAAACAAACTAAATTTATTGGGTGGATAATAGGGAAAGGGACAAAGATAGGGTGGTTCTGTAGTGATTATAAAGGTTTGTAAAAGATTAACTAAGGTCCAAAATCTTCAGCCCACATCAAAGACTTCACATTCTTATGACTGTACAAACAGGCCAGCCCTAGTTGTGTGGCTTGCAGAATCGTGGAGGTGTAGCTGCACATGAAGAAGTTCCTTTGTCAAGGACATCACTTCCTCTCTACCTCAGAATGACACTTCTTGGCCATGAATCCAAGATTCTGTTTAGCCTCCCATCGATGCAGAGCAGACTGACTGGAAAAATCATGTCTTGTATCTTGATCCTGTTGAAAAGAAAGTACATTTGTCTGTTCTGAGTACAGTGCTTAGCACCTAATGGCCTCTGTGAATGTCACTTAATTCATCTGGTAAGGTGGTCCTAATATAGACATTAGAAATAAGGTATAACTTATTTTTTTAAATACTTATTTTTTAGTTTTAGGTGGACACAATATCTTACTTTAAATTTATGTGGTGCTAAGGATCGAACCCAGTGCCTCATGCATGGTAGGTGAGCACTCTACCGTTGAGTCACAATCCTAGCCCCTAACTTATTTTTATTATCATTGTAGTTATATATAATATTGGGGTTCATTTTTATATAATTATAAAACATGGAATATAATTTATTCCACATCAGTCCCCAGTACATCCCCTGTCTGCTCTCCTTCTCCCTCTCCCTGTTCCCTTTCCTCTACTCTACTAGGCTTTCTTCTATTTATTTATAGTTTGTTTTAAATTAGTACATTATAGATACACATAAAGGTGAAATTCACTATGGTATATTTATACAGGAGAGTTTGGTCAGACTTATTCCACCATTCCTCTCTTTGGAGAAAAAAATCAGTTCGTTGGTTTATTAGAAGTAGTTTAAAGAAATCTAAAGATTAAAAAAAGAGTAGCTAGATGATATAAGACTTCTGAATTTGAAGTTTGAGAAGGTATAAACTTGAAATTGTTTAAGGCATCTTAACCTTACCTCTTCTAGCCATATGTCTTCCCGGGGAAGCCTCTGCAACCGATTTTTTGTCAATTCAAGTTGCAGGCCATCAAACTTGCACTGAAACCAGCGGTGAGCTTCTTGCAGGTTAGCTGTTATCTGAATACAGGTTTTTTTTTTTTTTCTATTAGTTTTACAGACTTTTACCTAGATAAAGACCTAAGTTCTGACTGCAAGGTCCTTGTAAACTATTCATACATACAATACATTTAACAACCGATTAAATAAGAGTAATTTCTAAATGAGGGTTAAAGGAATGCATACAGGCTCACTGCTCTTCATGCACTTGTAAATGTTTCCACGACATCCCTCACCTGAATCTGGATTTCCCTTGTCTAGCAAGGTATCTGACACAAAGTTAAGTCCTCAAGAAGTATGCACTGCTTTCTACCTATCGCAAATTAGTTAGGTCAGTATAGGGGGCACACTATAGGAAGCTAAGAAAACTGAACTCAGTGTTATTTAACTTTTAGAAACTACAAAGCTAAAATGTCTTCCAGGTCCGTTTGTGCATCTTGATAACAACTATAATTCCACTTTTCCCAAACCAAACTTCTCTTTCTCTAGCATCTACCAGGAATGGAAGAAAAGGTACATGAAATGGCTTTGTACATGACATCTATTGTATGATGAATGAGAAGGAGCTAATACTCAGAGATATCTATTAGAATAAAATAATTATTGTGTGGATGTGGTAACTGATAGGGAAGTTACCTAAGTGCACACAGTCAGTGTCACAGTTGGCACTCAAACTCGGGTCTCTCAGAGTACATACTATTCCTAATACACCATTCTACAAATCATGTTGTGATTCAGTGGCTACAAGAGGAACAATGATAAATTGACAGCAGTGATACTTTAAGAATGTCTGTTTTCTAAATCTAGAAAATAAAGGGTGGTTGTGGGAGAACTATAACCTCAAAGAGCCTTCCTAGATCTAAAAATGTATGATTTAAAACACTTTCAAATAGACCAATTTAAGTTTATTTTTAATTTGTTCTTTTTAGTTATACGTGACAATAGAATTTATTTTTATATAGTTACACAAGCATAGAATATATCTTATTCTAAATAGGATGTATACAATGTTCAGATTCACTGTGGTGTATTCACATATGAACATAGGAAAGTTATGTCAGATTCATTTCACTGTCTTCTCTATTCCTATCTACCCTCCTTCTCTTCATTCCCCTTTATCTAATCCAATGAACTTCATTCATTCTTTCCCTACCCACCCACCACATTGTGGTTAGCACCCATATATAACAGAGACCATTCAAACTTTGATTTTTTGAGATTGTCTTATTTCATTTAGTATGATAGTATCCAGATTCATCTACTTACTGGCAAATGCAATAATTTAATTCTTCTTTATGGCTGAGTAATATTCTATTGTATATACACTATAATTTCTTTATCCATTCATCTGTTGATGGGCATCTAGGTTGGTTCCATAGCACAGCTATTGTAAATTGAGCTGCTACAAATGTTGATATGGCTGTGTCACTATAGTATGCTGATTTTAACTCCTTTGTATTTATTCTAAGGAGTGAGATAACTGGGTTAAATGGTGGTTCCATTCAAAGTTGAGGAATCTCCATACTGCTTTCCAGAGTGGTTGTACTAATTTACAGACTCACCAACAATTTATGAGTGTATCCTTTCTGCCAAATCCTCACCAACATTTATTGTTACTTGTATTCTTGAAAATTGCTGTTCTGGTTGGAGTTAAGGTTAAAACATGATAGTTTTACTTTACATTGCTAGAGATGTTGAACATCTCTTGTTTACATACGTTTGTTGACTATATTTCTTCTTTTGAGAAGTGTCTATTTAGTTTTGTCCATTTATTGATTGGGTTTTTGTTTTGGTGTTTTTTGAGTTCTTTGTACATCCAGGAAATTAATGCCTTATCTGAGGTGGAGGGGGCAAAGATTTTCGACCATTTTGTAGTTTTTCTCTTCATGCTTTTTATTGTTTCCTTTGTTGCAAAGAAGATTTTAGTATTATTCCAATCCCATTTATTTTTTATTTTATTTCTTGTGCTTTAGGAGTCTTGTTGAGGAAGTTGGTTCCTAAGCTGACATCTTCAAGTATTGGACCTACATTTTCTTCTAGTAGGGGCAGGGTTTGTATGTTATTGATTTACTTTGAGTTTTGTGCAGGGTGAGAGATAGGGGCTCAATTTCATTCTGCTACATATGGATATCCAGTTTTCCCAGCATCATTTGTTGAAGAGGCTGTCTTTTCTTCAATGTATTTTATGGCACCTTTGTCTAGTATGAGATCACTGTATTTATGTGGGTTTGTCTCTATGTCTTCTATTCCATTGGTCTTCATGTCTGTTTTGGTGCCAATACCATGCTGTGTTTATTACTACAGCTTTGCAGCGTAGGTCTGGTATTGCGATGCCTTCTGCTTTGCTTTTCTTGCTAAGGACTGCTTTGGCTATTCTGGGCCTCTTATTTTTCCAAATGAATTTCATGACTATCTTTTGTATTTCTCTGAAGGATGTCATTGGAATTTTAGTAGGAATTGCATTAAATCTGTATATTATGGCCATTATGACAATATGAATTCTGCCTATCCAAGAACATGGGAGAGCTTTCCATCTTCAAAGGTATTTTTCAATTGTTTTCTTAGTGTTCTGTAGTTTTCATTATAGAGGTCTTTTACCTCCTTTGTTAGACTGATTCCCAGTGTATGAGTGAGGCATAGTTTTCCTAATATCTCTTTCAGCTGATTCATCATTCGTGTATAGGAGCAAAATTGACTTATGGATGTTAATTTTGTATCTTGCTACTTTGCTGAATTCATTTATGTGTTCTTGAAGTTTTCTGGTGGAGTTTTTTTGGATCTTCTCAATATAGGATAATGACATTAGCAAATAGATAGTTTAAGCTCTTGTTTCCCTATTTGATCTGTTTAATTTCTTTTATCTTAATTGCTCTGGCTACAGTTTCAAGGACTATACTGAATAAAAATGGTGAAAGAGGACATCTCTGTCTTGTTCCAGTTTTTACAGAGAATGTTTTCACAGTTTTGCTCTGTTTGAATAATCTTAGCCTTGGGTTTGCCATATATAGATTTTACAATGTTGAGGTATGTTCCTACTATCCTTAGTTTGTCTAGTGTTTTAAACATGAATGGATACTGTATTTTGTCAAATGCTTTTTCTGCATAAATTGAGATAACCATGTGATTCTTGCCTTTACACTTATTTATGTTGTGAGTTACATTTATTGATTTCCATCTGTTATACAAAACTTGAGTCTCTAGAATAAAACCCACTTGATCATAATGCAGTATTTTTCTTTTTAATATGTGTTTGTTTGTGGTTTGCCAGATTTTGTTAAGAATTTGTGCATCTATGTTCATCTGGAATATTGATCTGAAGTTTTCTTCCCTTGGTGTATCTTTGCCTGGTTTTGGTATCAGGGTGATATTAACTTCATAGAATGAGTTTGGAAGAGCTCCCTCCATTTCTATTTTGCAGGATAATTTGAGGATGATTAGTGTTAGTTCTTCTTTAAAGGTCTGGTAAAAACTCAGTTCAGAATCCATCTAGTCCTGGGTTTTCTTAGTGGATAGGCTTTTGATGACATTTTCAATTTCATTACTTGAAATTGATCTGTTTAAATTTTCTATGAACTCATGGTTCAATTTAGGTAAGTCATATGTCTTCAGAAATTTGTTGATGTCTTCAAATTTTCTATTTTATTTGAGTATAAATTTTCAAAATAGTTTCTGATTATTGTATTTCAGTAGTGTCTATGGTGAATATATCCTTTTTCATCACAAATTTTAATAATCTTGATTTTTTTCCCCTGTTTCTTTCTTTTGGTTAGCTTAGCTAAGAGTTTATCACTTTTATATTTTCAAAGAACCAACTTTTTGTTTCATTGATTTTTGGAAATATTTTGTTTCAATTTCATTGGTTTTGGCTCAGATTTTATTTATTTCCTGTCTTCTATTGCTTTTAATGGTTATTCCTCTTTTCTAGACCCTTGAGATATAATGTTAGGTATTTTGGTGTCTTTTTTTATATGTGTGTGTGTGTGTGTATGTGTGTGTGTGTGTGTGTATTTAATTGTTGATAGACCTTTATTTATTTACATGTGGTGCTGAAAATCAAATCTAGTGCCTCACACATGCCAGGCAAGAGCACTACCGCTGAGCCCCAACTCTAGCCCCTGGTGTCTTTCTTTTAATGAATGAACTCAATTCTATTAACTTTCCTCTTACAACTTCCTTCAGTGTTCCAAAGATCTTGATATGCTATATTATTATTTCACTTATTTCTAAGTATTTTTTATTTCACCCTGATTTCTTCTGCTATCCATTCATCATTCAATAGCATATATTTTTTTGTATCAAGGTGTTTGAGTAGCTTCTTTTTTATTTTATCGTTGATTTCTAATTTTATTCTATTATGATTTGATAGAATGCAAGGTATTTTGTGTGTGTGTGTTTATTAAGAGTTGCTCTGTGGCCTAAGATAGTCTATTTTAGAGAATGATCCATGTTTTGCTGAGAAGTATGGTCAGTCACTGATGAATAATATATGTCTCATAAGTCTAAATTATTAATTGAATTATTCAGTTCTCTAGCTTCTTTATTACTTTTTAAAAATAATATCTATTTAGTGATGAGAGAGGCCTGCTAATGTCATTAAGCATTGTGTTATGGTCTATTTGATTCTTGATATTGAGAAGAGTCTGATGTATACATATGTTCCATTGTTTGGGGCATAAATATTTATGACTGGTATGTCTTATTGATGTGTAATTTCATTAAGCAGTATGAAATGACCTTCTTTGTCTCTTCTGATTAATTTTGGCTTGAAGTCTTCTTTAGCTGATATGAGAATAGAAACCTCTGCTTGTTTATAAGATCCATGTGAATGATATGTTTTTTCCCATCCTTTCGCCTTCAGTCTGTGGATGTCTTTGCTTATGAAGTCATTCTCTTGGAGACAACATATTACTGAGTCTTATTTTTAATCCAATCTTCCAGCTTATGTCTTTTGATTGATGAGCTTAGGCCATTTACATTCAATGTTATTATTGAGGGATGATTTTTACTCCTGTAATTTTATTTCTAATTTTTAATTGTATTAGTTTCTCCTTGGATCAACTATTCTTCTAGCATACTTCCTCCGTATGCTGGTTTATAATTTTATTTTTCATTTTTTCTTCATGAAATATTTTATTCATGCTTGTAGTGTAGGCTTTGTAGTTGTGACTCCTTTTGTTTACTGTGCAAAGTTTTTACTTCATCTTCAATTCTGAAGCTTCATTTTGCTGGGTGAATATTCTTTGTTGGCCTCCATATTCTTTCAGAGCTTGATACATATTATTCCAAGACCTTCTAGCTTTGAAAGGTATAGGTTGAGAAATCAGCTGAGATCCGAATTGCTTTTTGCTTAAATGTGACCTGTTATTTCTCTATAGTAGTTTTAAAATTCTATCCTGATTCTGTATATTAGTCATTTTCATAATAATGTGCCTCGGTGTGAGTCTGTTGTAATTTTATACACATGGAGTCCTGTTTGCCTCCTTTATTTGATTTCCCATTTATTCTTAAGAGTTGGGAAGTTTTCTGATGTTATTTCATTAAAAATATTGTGCATTCCTTTAGTTTGTATTTTAGAGCCGTCATCTATTCAAATGATTCTTAAATTTGGCCTTTTCATGTTATCTTGTATTTTCTGAAAATTCTGTTCATAGTCTCCTAACATTTTTTCATAGGCAACTTTATTTTCAAGACTACATATTTTGTCTTAGTTGTCTGAAACTCTGTCTTTCAAGTAGTCTAATCTATTGGTGATGCTTTCCATTGAATTTTTAATTTGACTTATTGATTTCTTCATTTTGAGGATTTCCATTTGATTATTTTTCAGAATCTATCTTTATTGAAGTGATCTTTCACTTCCTGTATTTCTTCTCTGATTTCATTCCCTACATCATCTTTTACTTTGCAAATTAGTTTAGTTATAAACTTTCTAAATTTTTTTCTGTGACATTTCCCCCACTGTGTTTAGTGGATTCTCATATTGAGGTATTTTGTATTGGGATGGTTTGTTCCCTTGCTTTTTCACTTTGTTTGTGTGTTTACCCATTTATCAGTATGAACTGGAGGTGGCAGAGTTCCTACCTTATGAACTCAGTATCCCTGAAGGTTTCTAGCACCTCATGGTTTAGGGGGAGACAAATAATAACAACCACCAATGTAAACAAGATATAGCATTAAACTAAATACTTAGTACCTATTATGACATCTACCATGTTAATTGGTATAATAGGCAATTACCAAAATTAAAACGATAAGTTTGCAAAAGGGTTTGCTATTTCAAAAGTGAACAGAAAGAATGTTGAAGAGATATAGGATGTGATTATGAAGGAGGAGGAAAGAAAGTAGAAATAAAAAATTAAAGGAAGAGTAAAAGAGAGAGCAATAGAATTTGGCTGTTAGCCAAAGAAAAGAGAAAGAAAGTAAAGAGAAATAGACAAGGAAAAAAAAAGAAACTAACCTAAAACATACTAATCAAAAACCCTAGCCTTCAAAAGACAGTCATGAAAAATAACTACCTTCAAAAAATGCTAGAAATGAGAAAAGGGACAAATATAAATGTCCAAGAATAATTTATTACACAAGCAAACAATAAAAAAAGTTCTTCATGAAAACTTAAGGAATTGTTTCTATTGTGGTGGTCAAAAATCGTCAATGAGAATATATGTTTGGGCTGGGGATGTGGCTCAAGCGGTAGCGCGCTCGCCTGGCATGCGTGCGGCCCCCGGTTCGATCCTCAGCACCACATACCAACAAAGATGTTGTGTCTGCCGAGAACTAAAAAATAAATATTAAAAATTCTCTCTGTCTCTCTCTCTCTTTAAAAAAAAAAAAAAAAGAAAAAAAGGACCTTTAAGATGTTTCTTAAAAAAAAAAAAAAAGAGAATATATGTTTGTTGACTGTTACCAAATGTCTTTCTTTCCATATGTACCACGCACAAGAATACTAGCATACTAGCTGCAAATCCTCGCCTCTCTTTGTGTTGCTCATCTAGTTGCCAGTTGGAGTTCAAAAATTCTTGGCTTCCCTTGTGGCAGTATGAGGTGGAGTGGGTTGAAGAGTGCTGTTCTCCACTCTCACGATGGGATCACTGTAGAATTCTGTGAGAGGAGTTCCTATCAAAGGAGGTCCTGAAGGTAGGGCTTAGGTCTAGTTAGGCCCCAGGTGCTGCAACTGAATGGTGATTGGTGTGAGAATTTTAAATCAGAACACCTCCAGGGTCTGGCAGCTGCTGATCCATGCTGGGAGAATGAACCCCAGGAGTCTCCCCTGGGCCACACTTGTGCAGTGGAGGAGCCAATCCTGCACCACCTATGCCACATGCAGATCTCACCCTTCCTGGCCTTGGGCTCAGTCCCCAAGCACAGTCACTCCTGCCCATCTGAATTTCCTGCCCACCCCAGCTGATCCTGCAAGTCAATAGACTCAAAGAGGGAGAGGGACCCAGAATCTCTCAGGTTTCAACAACCTGAATTCCCCCAAGTAAAACATTCTCGAGGTCTGAATTTCTCCTGGTCTCCTAATTACACTCTTGAGTCATGTGGTAGGCATCAGGCAAGCCTGACTTTCAGACCCTGCTCAGATTTTCCAGGTCCAGGCTCCTAGATTTGCTCCCATAGCTTCCAGCCACCACAGCACAGTGAAAAGATGGCTCCTGCCTTGGCTCTCTGTGGACCACCAGGAGACACACAGCATCTTCGTCACACAAGGCTAATAGTGTGGCACACTTTCAGATCAGTCTGCCAGAGTTCTTGATCTCTGATTTCTCCATACCAAGACACACCACTGTGCCACCTTAAATGCAGGTTCTCTTAGTTCCCTTCCCTGCTTTGCCCACAGTGTATTAGCTCTGGCAGCCACTAGCACTGGCAGGGCTTTCTTCTTTTATTTTATTATATCCAACCTTCTGAGTCTCCAAGCTGTTCTGAGAGTCCAGCATTAAATCCCAATAAAATCCCTCTTTCACCCACCTCACTGAGCTGTTTATCTGCTATCTTGGTCTCACACCACAGAGTAGCTTAAAAAGCAACCTTGTTTCCTCTGCGATCTTCCCAGTCCTCCCCCAATTTACGTTTAGAACAGAGAAAGCAAATTCACATATTAGGACATACTTTATGCTTCTAGTTATTGATATAACAAAGAATTTCCAATTTTCTTAATTCAAGTCAAATAATGAAGCAAAATCAACACACATGGTGGTCTTCCCTTATATTTAGTGGTCAAAACTTAGAGACTTTAACATTCAATTAATATCTTAGTATTCTATTACCTATTATCAAGACATAGACTCTTAATCTAAAAACTACTTATTTTTTTTTACAATAGAGACTTTACTTAGTAAATTATTGGTTCTTGCCTGCTGTACTCATGACAACTGATGAACTCACTTGTGTGTTTCAAGGCTATTGTCTAAGTCTTTATGGCTATGGGCTGGCTCACCTGTTCTGATTCCACACTGGCTTCTTTCAATTTGTTCTCCGTTGCCTCTTTACATTTCTTCAGGTGTCTAACAGTTTCTCCCAATTCCTGAAGATGTCAGAAAGATTTTTTAAAACATCCAATGTACCATATAAAAGAAGTTTCAAATTTGTAATATAGCAACCAAATTATGAAAGTAGTATTTTAGTATTCTATACACTTTTGAATTTCAGGTGCTACCAAAATACAAGATACAAATTTATCACTAGTCTAATTCACACTCTTCAATACGTATATTGTTACAGATTCTGATCTGAATTATGAATTCTGCTGAGAGAAAGTGATTAATGTCTCTTTTCAGAATTGGAGAGATACCTTTCATAGCAGACAATCCCTATTGGAAGACAAGAATTCAATGCTCTCTTGAAGTACCTTTGTAGCAATATAATGTCATACTTTTTTACTAGGTTAGGAATAGCTAAAATTCCTATAATAGCAACAGGTATACATTTATGTTATAGGGAAGAATCAAAGGGTATACGTTTCCTAAAGACTATGAAATCCACTTCAGAAGTGTGACTACTTAGTAACTGATATTTTGCAAATGTGAACTCTAGCTTTTCTTTAAAAGTAAACACTTATTAAATTGAAAATGGAAAATATTTGCCATATTCCAAGCTCAGGCTTCTTCCTAGGTATTACTATTCTAAGAGCTTAACTAAGATGAACAAATTTTAAATATGTTTTCTACTACAGAATCTAGAAAACCTAGATGCTATAATGCTGGTAAGGCACAGGCCATCTGCTCATAATCTTTGAAAAGAATCTTAAGAAACCTTTTACCTGACACCGATTTTCTAATTCCTGCCTCATTTTCTGCTCTGCTATTAGTCGCAGCTCTTGCTGTTTATTCCGTGCTGAAGTTTCATATTGGCTCTTGGCTAACAGCTGCATCTCTTTCTGCAGGTTACTCATTTCAGATACGAATCTCTGGATACTCAATGACTGGCAGAGAACAAATAGGAAGATATTTAGTGTATCTAAGTTGGAATTTTGTAATGAATAGTAAACAGATTGTAGAAATCATCTACCTGTTCATAGTTTTTTTTCTGATATTGATCCTTAATTAGCTCCATTTGCCTCAATTCTGTTTCTATTTGCTGAAAGTAAATGTAGAAATAACATTAAAAAAAGATGATCAATGGGAAAAACAGCTTTTTCTTTTTGCCTTTAGATGACAGAATCCCATATGAGAACCAAGGTTTTATAACTTTGGTTCCTGTTGGGCTCTTTCCTATGTGGCTTACTGACCCCCAAAGAGCAAAGTGCAGTACAATCAACACAGAGAAGACAGATGGGGAGCCAGAATGTGACACTGGCAGCTAATAAGAAACCAAACATTTACAAAGATACATCTCCACTAAAATAGAGATGGTCCCACAAAGGCAATTTGCCCACTTCCCAGTTGTGGCTGTAAATTCTCAGAGGATACATGCTCTGTTAAGGCTCTAAAATCTATCTTTCTTAGACTCCCATGACTGTCTGGATCCTCATAGCACACTAAGAAAGTGAGGGGAGACTTAGGGACATAGAATGTCTCAGACACCTTCATTCTCTCCACATTCTGAGCATTATTCATCTTAGTGGATAAGTGGAGCTTTATTTGGGCCTTTTGATTCTTTATTTTCTCCTTGTTACTGTTCAGTGTTTTTTCCAGCTCTGCAAGTTTCTGCCGCAGCTCTCTGTTGGTTCGGGATACCTCCACTGATCTGAAGTTGGCTTCATCAAGGGCTTTCTTCAGCTTAGGACACAAAGGAAAAATTGGAACATTTTTACCTGCCATTTGGTAAGAGAAGCTTGTTTAGTTTTGTTCCTATATTTTGCTGTCATTTAAAAAGGATAATAAGCAACATGATAATGATGTTGGAGTAAGCAGATTTATAGAGCAATAGATCAAGTGATTTTCATAATTTTTAATACTAAAGAATAAAATATTTCTTACAATAGATAAAGAACATACATGTATATTCCTTGTTCGCAGTTAAAGAGCATGGCTTTGGAGTCAGACAGACTCCTAAGTTCAACTCTGAGCTTCACTATTTACTATCTGAGTAATTTGGGGCAATTAACTTTCTCAAGTCTCAGATTCATCAACCTAAAAGTATGAAAAAGATATTCATAAATCTAAATTAAATAATAAAATGTAGAGAAAGAATGTGAAGCCTGGTACACAATAATTACTGCCATGCTATAAGCTCTTCTCTTCTGTCATTTGCAGTCTCATGTCTTGAGAAGTGAAAATAAATTATATGGTAATTTATCATTAAACTTGTCAGCTGTCAACTTCACTGCATATGTTTTTATAATATTGCTTTTTGAAGCCCAAGTCTAGCTCAAAAAAGAAGCTAGGCAAACCTATGCTGCATGACAGAGAGCATGCCAAAGTGACCAGGAGAAAAATCAAGCATGGATAGAGGTTTACACAGGGTAATACTGGTTGAGGAAACCCACTTGGCTTCCCTCTCCCCTTCTAATCATGCTGCTTTCAGGACCCACTGGGAAGAGAAATGCCTGACCAGGAATTCAAAAGAGTAGAGGTGGGAGAGATTGAATTTGGAGACTGAATCTGAGACTAGGAATTGTGAGGTATGCAGGCAATCTAGTGGGCTAAGAACAGGCTCCTACACTACACGAATAGAACCCAAAAGACATTCCAGGGGTGCAATCTTCCAGCATGAACCAGCAATGGCTGAGTCTTAAAGGTGCACTGACTTAAAATCTCCAGACTAACTGGCATTCAGCAAAGAGATTGAAGTATACCTAAGCCTATACCCCACCCTCTAGGAGTTACCACTCCTGGATTAACCCTCTCACCCTAGAAACCCCACCCACTTAACTGCTAAGAAGTGAAGCTGAGTAACTTTTGAACTCCAAAGGAAACAACTGTCAATTTTTCATCGAGATCATTTTAGTTTTACCTTTCCTTTTTTTTCTCTCACATTTCTATCATTTTTGAAACCAATTATTTTTTATGCATCAGTTTATTGAGGAATAGGATGTATGAACAGAATATTTGTTTTGTATTCTTTATTTTTACTTTTTTCTATTTTTCATTTTAAAAAATTTTTATTTTATACATATTTTTTCTCTTATATGTTTTCCTTGATTTTCTTTCTCTTTTCTCCTGCTAATAGCCAATCTCTATTATTCCCTCTTTCACTCTTCCTATAATTTTTAACTTCTATCTCCTCTCTTACTTTCTCATAAACTTCAAACCTTACACAACTTCTGTTCTTTGTCCACCACCTGAAATTGTAAACTCTTTTGCAAACTTACTGTTTTTACTGTAGGCAATAATTAAAATTATCATTTCTGTTTATTGTGACAAAACTATAAACATCACAGTAGGAGCTATTTGGTTTAAGGCTGTATATTGTTTGCATTGGTTGCTGTTAATATTGGTCTTCCCCTTAAAGGTGATGTCCTGGAAGCCTTCAGGGACACTATAAATCTACAAGGTAGAAAATGTACTGCCTAAGATCTACACTTATAGATGGGTAGACACAAAAACAGCATAAAAAAGGGAATTTCCCTAAATAAACTAAGATGCTCCATTAATAGAATCCATTGATCCACAGCAGAAGAAATGTCCGAAAAGTTGTTTAGAGTGTACAGGGTTAAACTGATCCATGAGGTATAGGACGATGTAAAGAATAAAATCAGAGATAAAATTCAGGAGGTGAATGATCACTTCAATAAAGAGATAGGGATTCTGAAAAAAAATTAAGCAGAAATCCTCAAAATGAAGGAATCAATAAACCAAATTGAAAATTCAATAGGAAGAATCATCAACAGACTAGACCACTTGGAAGACAGAATTTCAGCCAAAGAAGATGAAATATATAATCTTAAAAATAAAGTTGAGGGCTGGGGCTATAGCTCAGTGGCAAAACACTTGCTTAGCATGTGTGAGGCACTGAGTTCAATTCTCAGCACCACATAAAAATAAAGAAACAAAATAAAGGTATGCTGTTCATCTACAACTACAAAAAATTAAAAAATAAAGTTGAACATAGAGTATGTTAAGATATCTTGAAAAGAACTTCCAAGAGATATGGGATAGCATAAAAACACCAAATTAAGATTTATCAGGGTACATGAAGATGTGGAGATACAAATCAAGAGAATGCATAATCTTTTCAATGTAATAATATCAGAAAATTTACAAAATTGTAAGAAATGAAATAGAAAATCAAATACAGGAGGCTTACAGGACACCAAATGTACAAAGTTACAACAGACCAAAAAACTTTATTATGAAGATGAATATCATACACAATAAAGATAGAATTTAAAGACTGGGAGAAAAAATGTCAAATTACAGTGTAGAGGTAAACCAATCCAGATCTCAGCTGATTTCTCAATCCAGACCTTCAAAGCTAGGATGTCCTGGAATAACATATACCACGCTATGAAAGAAAATGGATGCCAATCAACAATGCTATACCCAGCAAAATTAAGCTTCAGAATTGACAATGAAATCAAAACCTTCCATGATAAACAAAAGTTAAAAAAATTTACAACTAGAACACCTGCACTACAGAACATTCTCAGCAAAATATTCCATGAAGATGAAATCAGTGGAGAAACTAACACAAATTAAAAACCAGAAATAAATAAAAATGATAGGGAATAAAGATCTGTTTTCAATAACAACCTTGAATGCAAATAGCCTAAATTCATCAATCAAAAGACACAGATTGGAAGATTGGATTACAAAACAAGACCCAACAATATGCTTTCTCCAAGAGACCTCATAGGCAAAGACATCCACAGACTAAAGGTGAAATAATGGGAAAAACAATATCACTCATATAGATCACCTAAACAAGCAGGGATTTCTATTATTATATCAGACAAAGTAGACTTCAATCCAGAGTTAATCAGAAGGGACAAAGAAAGTCATTTCATAGTGCTTAATGTAATTATACATCAACAAGACATAACAATTATAAATATTTATGCCCCAAACAATGGCGTTTCTACATACATCAAACAAACACTTCGAAATTTCAAGAATCAAATAGACCACAATATAATAATTTTGGGTGACTTTAACACACCTCTCTCACCACCAAATAGATCCATCAAACAAAAAGGAAACTATAGAACTAAATAATACAATCAATAATTTAGACTTAACAGGCAATATAGAGTATCTCATCAATAAATTATAGAATTCACTTTTTTCTCAGCAGCACACATATCTTATGCCACAAAGCAACTCTCAGCAAATAGAAAAAAAAACAGAGAATTCTTGCATTCTATCAGATCATAATGGAATGAAATTATATATCAACAATAAAATAAAAAATAGAAGCTACTCTAACACCTGGTGACTAAATAATACATTATTGAATGACCAATGGATAGCAGAAGAAATCAGGTATGAAATTTAAAAAAAACTTAGAAGTAAATGAGAATAGTGACACAATATATCAAAATCTCTGGGACACTATGAAACAGTGGTAAGAGGAAAGTTCATTGCATTGAGCTCATTTATTAAAACAACAGAAAAATCAACAAATAAATAACCTAATATTACATCTCAAAGCCCTAGAAAAAGAAGAACCACCACCCAAAGCAGTAGAAGACAGGAAATAATTAAAATCAGAGCTTAAATCAATGACATTGACACAAAAGAAACAATTTAAAAAATTGTCAAAACAAAAGGTTGATTTTTTAAAAAATAAAATCAATAAACCCTTAGCTACACTAAAGAAAATAAAGAGACAGAAAATTCAAATTACTAAAATTTGTGATGAAAAAGGAAATATGATGGACACTTCAGTAGTCTGAAATACAGACAAAATCAGAAACTATTTTGAAAATCTGTACTCCAATAAGATAGAAAATCTTGAAGATTTTGAGAAATTTCTAGAGACATATGACCTACTCAAACTGAATCAGGAAGACAATCACAATCTGAACAGATCATTTTCAAGCAGTGAAACAGAAGATGCCATCTAAAGCCTAAAACTAAGAAAAGCCCAGGACCAGATGGATTCTCAGTCAAGTTCTACCAGACCTTCAAAGAAGAACACCTAAATCCTCCTCAAATTATTCCATGAAATAAAAGGAGGGAACCCTTCAAAACTCATTCTATGAACTAGTATCATTCTGATACCAAAACCAGACAAAGACACATCAAGGAAAGAAAAGTTCAGACCAATACCCATGATGAACTTATGTAAAAATTCTCAATAAGATTCTGATAAATCATACATAAAAACATATTAAAAAGTTAGTGCACCACAATCAAGTGAGGTTCATCCCAGGGATGCAAGGTTAGTTCAACATATGAAAATCATTAAATCACATCAATAGACTTAAAGACAAGAATCATATGATTATCTCAACAGATGTAGAGAAAGCATTTGACAAAATACAGTATCCCTTCATGTTCAAAACACTAGAAAAACTAGAGATAGAATGAATATACCTCAACACTGTAAAAGCTATATATGTTTACCTAAGGCCAGCATGATTTCAAATGGAGAAACATTGTTCTAAAATTTTTTCTAAAAACTAGCAAAAGATTATTCTAAAAACTAGAACAAGACAAGGATGCTCTCTTTCACCACTTCTATTCAACATGGTCATGGAAACTCTAGCCAGAGCAATTAGGCAAAGGAAAGAAATTAAAGGGATATGAACAGGAAAAGAAGAACTCAAACTATCCCTATTTGCTGATGATATTTTTCTGTATTTAGAAGAACTAAAAAAAATTCCACTAGAAAACTTTAATAACTTATAAACAAATTCAGCAAAGTAGCAGGATATATTAATACCCATAAATCAAATATTCCTATACATCAGTGATGAATCTACTGAAAGAGAAATTAGGAAAACTACCCCATTCACAATAGCCTGAAAAAGAATAAAACACTTGGGAATAAGTCTAACAGAAGAGGTTAAAGATCTCTACAATGAAAACTATAGAATGCTAAAGAAGGAAACTGAAGAAGAGCTTAGAATATGGAAAATTCTCCAGTGTTCTTGGATAGGCAGAATTCATATTGTCAATATGGCCATATTAACAAAAGTGCTATACAGATTTAATGCAATTCCTGTTAAAATCCCAATGATGTTCCTCAGAGAAATAGAAAAAGTAGTCATGAAATTTATTTGGAAAATTAAGAGGCCCAGGAAGGCCAAAGCAATTCTTAACAAGAAAAGTGAAGCAAGAGGGGCTGAGGTTGTAGCTTAGTGGTAGTGTGCTCGCCTAGCACGCATGAGGCATTGGGTTCAATCCTCAGCACCATATAGAAATAAAATGTTGTGTCCACTAAAACTAAAAAATAAAAATTTAAAAAAAAGTGAAGCAGGAGGCATCATAATACCAGACCTTAAATTATAACAAAGAGCTAACACAAACAGCATGGTATTGGCATCAAAACAGACACATAGACCAATGGTACAAAAGAGAAGACACAGAGACAAACCTACATAAATACAGTTATCTCATACTAGACAAAATGCACCATCATAAACATACATTGGTTAAAGATAGCTTTTTCAACAAGTGATGCTGAGATAACTGGAAATCCATATGCAGCAAAATGAAATTAAACCCCTATCTCTCACCCTGCACAAAACTTAACTCAAAGTGGAGCAAAGACTTAGGCACTAGGATCAGAGACCCTGTGCCCAAATCTATCTATATCATGTTGGCTTGGGGACTGACTTCCTCAACAAGACTCCTAAAGGACAAGAAGTAAAATCAATAATCAATAAGTGGAATGAAATCAAATTAAAAAGCTTCTTCTTAGCAAAGGAAATAATCAAGAACGTGAAGAGAGAGCCTATAGAATGGGAGAAAATCTTTGCTGTCTACACATAGAACATTTCATATATTTGTTGACTAATTGTATAGAATAAATTGGACATTACTATCCTATGTGCATATATGATTACACGACCAATGTAATTCTACATCATGTACAACCAGAAGAATGAGCAGTTATAATCCACATATGTATAATAGGTCAAAATACATTCTACTATCATGTAAAACTAATTAGAATAAAAAATACTGCTTTTTGTTCATAAGGATTTGGTTAAGTTTTTCTCATGGAAAAATATAGTACGGTGATTACTGAAATACTTTTGTGAGTCTCCTTTTTCATAATTTTTTTAAGTCAATGCTAATTACAGTTTAAAAAGAAGAGGCAGCTGAGAGATGAAGTGAGATAGAAAGGTGGTATTCTCTAGGATGGTAGTGCTGAACATAAGGAATGAAGTGAAGAAGTGAAGATTACCTGTACCATTTCTCTCCATACTAGTTTCTTCCTTTAGATCTTATCTTTACAGTCTTCTATCAGCACCCAACCAACTTCCTGTTAGAATTCCACTGTTACCTTAACTGCAGCTTTGTCTAAAGCTAGAAGAGCCTCAAAACCACTACTCACTTTGTACTAATTTTAGGCAGCATGATAATTACTTCACAAATACTTTTCAATTTAATTCTTAAAACAAACCTGGACCATAGTTGTGATGATTTCTATTTTGTGACTGGAGAAACTAAGACTCAAAAGTTAAGTCACTAAAGAATAAATTAACACACAGCTAATGAGAGGCACTGCACATGACCCACTGCTGTTTCTACCTGCTCACTCATGTCACATTTTCACTGTTCCCAGGGAGGTCTTCTTACAACTTCACCATCTCATTGACCCTTGTTGTTAAAGGATTTCAGTTTTATAAGCATTCTGAACAACAATCTCTAACTAAAGGTACATTTTTACATTTAGTGCATTTTTTTTGTTTTCCACTGAATATGCTCATTATAATATTTATATTTATGTAGCATTTTGCAATTTATAAAACCATTCTATATATCTATATTGGCTTGTTAATGAGATCTGTCAATGGCAATTACTGAATCTAACAAATTTGGAAAAACTCACACCAGCCATCTTAATCAAGTCTTAGAATTGTTTAATTTCTTCCTCTTCATGTTCATTATACATTTAATGTCTGACTATTTTTCTAATTAAAATGGCTTTACAGGCTGGGGATGGGGCTGGAGTTCAGCGGCAGGGCGTTTGCTTAGCATGCATGAGGTACTGGGTTTGATCCTCAGCACCACATACAAATAAACAAATAAAATAAAGACATTCTCTTCATCTACAACCACAAAAAAAAAATTTAAAGAAAGGCTTTCTGACTTAATCTTTCTAAATTTTCAGGAGAACTATTTGGGTTGGCCCTAATCATCCATTACCCAAATTAACTGCCATGGTTTTCTTGTATTTCCAGGCCTAGAGTTCCTCTGCCGTCTTCCCTACTCTGTACTGCTGTCACATTAACTCTTAAAATTGTTCTTATATAACCTCTTTGCTCAGAAACCTATATCACTCCATTTTCACCTAACAGTTCACACTGAATTGTCTAGAAGGTGAGGCCAACAGTCACCTGGCTGCCTATGCTCACCACTCTCCCTCTAACATTTCCTAAGTGTCTGGTCAGAGGGGCTCCTTCTAATTTGCTTATGTCCTGTTGGTTTTTCTAACTCAGCTTTACATGGGTTTCTATAGACAGTGTCCAGCCTTGCCTTTCCACCAAACTCAAAGCTATATTTTCATTAAGTTTCCTATCTTCTAGCGCCATCCTAAAATAAACTTTGTTACTTTGAATTCCTCCAAAACTGTACATTTCCTCTAGCTATCCTAGAAAGGTTCTCTGATGTCTTCCCTGTTTGTCTCATGTCCAGAGTGGAGATCACAATTAAACCAGGGTTATTTAGCACAGAGCAGGGACTATATCTCCTACCGCTTCATTCTGTGGCTCTCTGGAGAAGGTGGATGCACAATGGATGCTGGTTAAGTGAACTGAGATGTGACTGGGTTTCCATCAAAGGCAGTCTCCTCATTCCTCTGTCTGGCTCAGTTATTGCTCTCTGCTGTAAAAGTTCTCCTCAAGGCATTCCTTCCCAGGGCAGAGAACTGTATATCAGAAAGTGTAGCTTTACAAACAGCATAGAGATGGCTAAATTATATCTCACTTGCTGACCAGAGGGGAATGAGAAGAGCCAGAGAACAAATGCAGTCATCCTCTGAAATCCTTCAGCTGGCTATCCTCTTAAAGGCATTCACCTAGAGGGAAGCTTTTGTCACTTGACTTCGTACCTCAGTACTTTCCCGTTGTGCTGCCTTCTTTGCAGTGTCTCTCTCAGTTTGAAACTGTTTTTTTAGAGTTTCTATGCGTTCAGCATGCAACTCTGCTTCTACTTTGGACTCCTCAGCCATATGTTCTCTGTTTTGAGGAAGACAGACAATAAATAAGCTTTAGAAACCATCTCAGGAAGCATGAAAGATTTGGAGAGGAATGAACAACTCTCCAAAATGTGTGTGATTTACAAACAAGATCAGTCTTTAGTTGAATCTCATTTGGAATTCATTAAGAGAAAAAAAGGTCCATTTACCTGCAGCATTAAAAAAAACAAAACACAAATGTCCGTCTATATTAAGAGATTCATCAAAAGAGTGAAATAAATCATAGGAAAAATATTAGCAGAAGCAGTCATACTTCGAGACACTTGTTTTCATTTTATCATTTTTTTTGCTATCAGCTATTCATTCCTTAAAGTTTTAACTTCTAATTGTTATTATTTCTTTATCTTTGAAGTGAGGGTCTTATATTAGATAAGCATTCTTAACTTGGGTTCCTTGGTCAAGATCCAAGATTTGGCTTTTGAAGATGCTGAAATACCCTGAAATGATATGCAAAATGTTGTGTGTGGGTGTGAGTTTTTGACTCTTACAAGTATAGGTGACTCCAAGAAAGGTTTAAAAAGAATGGACTCAAACAACAGCTAGGCTTCTTCCAGTTTTAATCTTCTCTTATTTGCCTCCAAATACTAATGCCTTAGTATGGCACTATTCCATGATTATCTGTATTTCTCAAAGAGCAAAAGGAGCCTGCCTTGCCATGAAATCTTCCTTTCCCCACTCTCCTCCTGAGCATCTTTTGTGTTTATTTGGATTACATACCCACATTCCTCATGTGCCTCTAAAAGTACCTCTGCTTTTGGACTCAGCTAGTCTACTTGGCTTGGTCTATAGAATGAGACCTGCAGGAGACAACTGCAACTCTGCCCCACCCTCACTTCCTGGTCCTCAGGTGGGAACATGGCAATCAACTTTGGCACATCATCTCAAAAAAGTTGTTGACACTTGTTCTAATGGCACCACATAAATAGATGGGAGATCCGAAGTTAAGGGAGATGCCTATTTTGTTATTTATTACATACCCACATTCCTCCCCCACCCACACCAATCTAAAAGATGGGCAAAAAATATATGGAGATCTATAAAGGGAACCATTATTTGTGTAGCAGGTATTGTATTTTTATTTTCTTAACAACTTTCTAAATTGTCTTTAAATTTATTGTGCTTATTCTAGCAAAGTGATGGAGACTAGAGGTTTTAGAGTAGGACTGCTGCTTCCTAGATCTAAATCCCAACTCTAACAAGATGATATGTGATCTTGTTATAGTAAATCATCTTTCCATGCCTGTTTCCTTATCTGTAAAATGGGAATAACAACAGTACCTAGCATCAAATAGTCACAGTAAAAAAGGAAATGCTCAGCACAATACATATCAGCTACTATCATCTAGTCCTAAAAATTCTAATTTTTATTAAATGTAATTTGTATTTTTCAAATGCAATTTGAGTTTTTATTAACTTTAATTTTAATTTAATTTTTAAAATTAATTTTCCTTTTACCCTCAACTTTCATATCCATCTCCAACTCTGAAACATAACATAAAATCTATCCTCTTAACAAAGTTTAAGCAATATAGTACAGTACTGTAAACTACACGCACTATGTTATATACATCTCTAGAACTTATTCAATTTGCTTTTAATTTCTTCTATGAAAAATATCAAACCATCCACCACTGGTTCTCGGAATAATGAACCACCTTCTTTTCCTTTCCTTCTGATCTCAGAGGAAGAAATGCATAACCTCAATTTCAATGATAACCCCTCTACTTTTCTTTGTTCTCATTTTTCTCCATTTCTATAATATTCTTTCCCCTACTTTTCAATCATGCTCCAGTTCCTCCTATCCTAAAACAAGACCCTAGCAGAATAACTTTTCTTCATCTACTACATTTCTTCATGAACTACACTATTCAATCTTTCTTTTCACCATTGCCTTTTCTCATCAATCACTTATTCCTTTTAATTTTCTAGATGGACAAAAACTGACTAACTGAAGGATGCTTCGCAGGTACCAGTTGCAAAGATTAATGCTCTGTCTCTGGTCTCATTGTTTTTGCCACTCTTGTAGCATCTGACTCATTTCTGCCTACAGTGACTCTATATCCTCCAAATTCTTTCCTTGCCTCCATAAATGCTTCCTTTCTGACTTTTGTTCCTTCCCCCTGAAATGTAGTGGATCCTCCAAGTTCTGACCTTGGTTCACTTCCTAGACTTCTTTCTGGGCACACTAACCCACTTAAAGACATCAGCTTTCACCTTTGTAAAGTATGAATTTCAACTTCTAACTTCTTGTCAAAATTAGGCTTCCATTTATCAGTCTAAAAATTCTACCTCAAAAGTCTTTCTTCCTGCATAATTTCAAGAGGCTGACAGGTCTTATGTGAAGAATGATGAAAACATGAACTATTAAACAGTGACATAAAGGTAAATTCTGAAGCAAATGCTGCAAGGAGATCTCTGACTTTCAGTTCACCCTTTTCCTCTAAATGATCCAGCTATGATCATTTTAGCAGTAGGAGGAGGGATTATATTTTATGGTTACCTGGAGAATTTTCAGGGTTTGAAATAATTTATTAGCTATCTAAACCCTATCTACCTAAGCTGTCATTGAGAGTTCTGGGTTTTTGTTTTATTTTGGTTTTGGTACTGGGAACTGACCCCAGGGCCACTGTATTATTGAACTATATCCCTAGCCCTTATTATTTTAATTTGAGATAGAGTTTTGCAAAGTTGTTGAGACTGATCTCGAACTTGTGATCCCCCTGCTTCACCCTCCCAAACTGCTAGGATTTCTGGTGTACACCACTGTGCCTGGCTACTGAGGGGTTTTTAAGTGATTTGGCCAACCACTACATAAACAATATTGTTTTAACTAATTCTGAGTAGTCTTGAAGCAGTAATTGTTAACATTTTATCAGAATATAAAATTTGCACAGATCACATATATGAAAAATACCTTGTTCTGCTTCAGTTCATTCCTGTCTCCTATATCAACATGAACACTAACTGAAAAGAACAAAGATCTACATGCATACTGCATTTAGCTTAGGTATAAATTTTCATTTAATAATATTAGTATCTAAATCATATTTACCTAGATTTTAACTTAAGACAAAACTTAAGTGATTTGACCTGAACTTGATGGGCTTGATCTAACTAATTTCATGTCAAAATTGAAAATAATTAATGGTTTAACATCTACTTAGATGGAATTGTTCCATTCTAGCCTCACCTAGACTGCTTATTCCTTGTCCAAATCATGCTTCAAAAGGATGCATAAGCTTGGAAGAAACATGTAAGAATCCTTTCCAATCAATATTCTTTAATTATTTTTTAACCTTCACATAAAGAAGCAGCTTGACCATGGGAGAAGGAAGAGATGAAAAGGAGAACCAAATGGGCATGCGCCAGCCAGCTGTTATCTGCTGGAGATCAGCTAGGCTTGTTTTTTTACCATGGTTTGGAGTGCTAGCTCAAAGTAGGAGAAAAGCATTTAACTGGCTTATGTAAATGAACTGGTCTTACTCTTCCAGAGGCTCTTTCCCAAGTTTACTGTGACTATATTGCCCTTACTTGAAGGTTTCCAAATTCTGCCGCTCAAGTTCTTTTTTTTCCAATTTTTCTTGAATGTGATCTAGTTTACATTGCAGATGATTATTTGTCTGAAGAGCTTGCTCCAGGCTCAAGGCCAATTTCCTGTTGTCTTCTCTTGCTATTTCTAGAGCTTTGTGTAGAGGCTCCATCTGAAAGAGAGGAGTGTTTTTAATGCCATTGTAATAGATGCAAGAAGCCCATTACATTCCTTACACTGTATCCTCAAGTGCCATTGAAATAATTAGTTGGAACGAGGAACAGGTTTCCAGGTGCCTGGAATATAAGTGAAAATTTATTAGTGATTGCTTAGGAGACTCTTAGAAGGCAAAGGGAAGGCTATGCTGCAGTGATCATCAGAGAGCTTTGGAAAATAGAGCCAGCTTAATTTCTCAAAAATTGTAACTAAAATTCCTCTTCCCAATCCTATCACCTTCTGGTTTCATTCCCTAGGAGAGATAAAAACTGGCAACTATTTCTTGTATATTCTTCCAAAAAGACTTATTTATATAAAATATCCATGCATATTTTATATATATTCATATGCATAGATACGTATTTATGTATGTGCACACGTGTTTGTGTTTCCTTATTAACAGTGGGATCACTCCAGCTACTTTTGAGATTATGTTATGTTTCTAATATATTATGTTTCTAAATCTTTTAGTTTCTGAAATCATTTGTGCATTAAGTGAAAAGATGTGGACTATACAAGACAAAGAATATTAGTCATAATTATGTTTCTGGATTGCCAATAAGTGACTCATTGTGAGGCTTAAAATTAGGTTCATTTCCAATTTTTAAGTATGTCACTGCCCAAAACTCAGACTTGAGTGAAAAAGAAGTTTACTTGATTTTTTCACTTAATTTTTCTCAAACAGCAACATCCTAATAAAATAAAATAGCTCAGTATTTTCATCTTTAAACACCTGGCCCTTACCTCACTGCTGTGCTGTGCATCCACAACAAGCATTCTGGCCTGCCACTGGTCCACTTCAGCTTCTAGCTTCTGCACCCTCTGTTGATTTAGAGCCCTAAAAATAAAAAGCCCAAGAGTGACTCTAGATTAGAATCATCTAAGAATTATACCACTTGGAATTTCAGGACACTTTTCTTCTAAGACGCTCAAAGAGAGTCATACGTAGTAGGTCACAAATGCTCAAAATACCTGAGTTGGTAGATGACAATTACAGTCACAGCTTCAGAGAAAAAAACTAAGGCTCCTAAGGAATTAGATAACTTGTCCCATCTATGATTCAACTTGGCTTGATGCATTAAGCTATCAATATATGTTTCTGAATAACTCATAGGCTGGTAATTTTACACTACCTATATCACTAATTGTTAAAAAAACTCATCACTTTTATTAGGATTATTTTGCTGATGAGATTTTTGATTCTAAATACAAAGTTCCTTAGAAGTTTATTGTAAATGGCAAACAATATTTTTAATATTGTCCTCTTGACTTTTGGTTTTACTTCAAAGATAATATATTTTAACAATATGTAAAAAAATATAAGCACAAAGAAGAAAGTAGAATCCATTTATTCTCTCACAACACAGAGGCAACATGTACCACTAATACATACAATGTATTTTAGAAGCCCTGTTATACTCAGGCCATTTGTTCTTTAACCTAAAAGGAAAATTTTATATAATTTTTAAAACAAAGAAGAGCTTATTTGTAAAACAAGGCTAGAAGTAGTTAGTTCTCAGAATAGTTCACCCAAAATAATTTTTAATCTTGAAACAGGATAATAATAAATAAATAATTCAAACTAAAGTAGTCAAATACATACATATATTTTCTTTTTTCCCAGTTGCTGAGGATCAAAAGTAGGGCCTCATGCATGGTTGGGGAGTGCTCCACCACTGAGCTTACAACCCCAGTCCAGCTTTAATTATCTCAGTAATACTATTACTATTCATATAGCCAAGAGAAGAATTAGGTTTAAATTAGAAAGTAACAAAGGAAAAACAGCAATGCAGCATGACTTTCAAGGATACAAACTTCTTCACATAACAACAAAACATGGCCATTTTGAATTTTTAGAAGTTATGTTCACTTCTAATTCCAGGTTTCCCCCAATTTGCTAGATCTTTAAAGAAAATTTTAGTAGTCTTTCATGAGGGAAGTGATATACAGTGACTTCATGTTCTCTCTGGACATTCCTTTATAGTACACAATGCAGCAATATCAAGGACAGAAAATAATCACAGGTACCTTTCTTTCTTGAGGCCTGCAATCTCTGAATCCCTTCGCCCAAGCTCTATCTGTACTTTCTCTAAAGCACCTTGCATCTTACTATGAGAAGCCAGCACATTTTCCAACATGATTGTAACTTTGCAGTTGTCTTCTTTAGCCTCTGCTAATTGTCGCTGAAAGTTTCCTACCTAAAAGAAAATGAAACAAGACATATACTCTTGATCCTTTCTGATTACTCTTGTGTGTCTCATTACTCCTAGGAGAGAGTATGGAGAGCAGGTATGGTAGAACACTAAAATGAATAACTAAAATACATTATATTTTTATATTTCTTAAGTTATTGTGACTTTGAGAAAAAGCAAATTAGACCCCTGATCCTACAGAAAACATGGTAGACTAACTATCACTACACAGCACACACATTAACCAGAGATGATAAGGTTGACAAATTCGTGAGTTCAGAGGTGATCCCAGGTGGTATACTTAGCTGTCTTCTGATGGGGTCAGAAGAGAGCACATCTGAAATCCATCAGAATTATCTCTTTTTCTAGACTGCAAGAGAAACTGGAAGCTGTTGAAGAAAGATACAGCTCACAGCACTCTGCAGAGAGGCAAAATCTAGCATCTGCTCTCAAGAAGTTTGGAATGTGGTCAGATAAATGGACAAAGAAAATGTGATACACGTATGCAGGATAATATTATTCAGCAATAAAAATAATGAAATTCTATTATTTGCAACAACATGGTGGAACTGGGGGACATTAAGTGAAATAAATCAAGCACAGAAAGACAAATACTTTATGTTCTCACATGTGGAAGCTAAGAAGTTGATCTCACAAAGGCATAGAATAGAATATTGGTTACCAAAGCCTGGGAAGAATGAGGGGGAATGGGGATGGAGATGGGGTGGTTAACAGTTCAGGAGTACAGCCAGATAGGAGAAAAAACTCCTAATGTACTAAGCACAACAGGTAATTATGGTTGACAAAAACTAGCTGAATATTTCAAAATGACTCATAGGATTTTGAATGTTCCCAACACAAAGAAATGATAAATGTCTGAGGTAATATAGATCTCAATTACCTCAATTTTATTATTATATATTGCATACATGTCATACAGAATGGCACAAATATATACAATTACAGTGTATCAATTAAAAATAAAAATGCTTTAAAAAAGCAAAGTTTGGAATGTGACTTCTGTTCCCACTAAGCACACACCATAGGAATGTTAAAGAGAAGGCATCATAGTACTGTTATATCACATTAATGAAACAAAAGTATGAATGTTATTATTACCAAGGTCAGATGAATTTTAATAGGAAACATTATGACTTTTGATTCTTTCAAGACAGTTAAAAAACACTGGAGTTACATGACATATCTTTAAGGGAAATATTTAAAACCATAATGAAGTTATCTTCTATAAAAAGAACTCTTCCTCTGATTATTTCTCATTCCTTTTACTAACAGATACAAGAATATCAGGAATACGGCTTGTGAAAGCTTTAATAAGCACTTCATCTTAGTGACAAACTTTCAGAACAGAGGGATGCCTTGCCTTCTTGTTTTCCCTATCCTCCAAAGCTTCCAAGTTCCCTTTCAACTTATGACTCTCTTGCAGGGCTGTATCTCGACACTTCACTGCTTGGGACAGCTCTTCCTCATTTTTTTCAAGAATGGATTTCACCTTAATAGAAAAATAGAAACAATAATTTTCTAAAATACCATAAGTCAATGATGAGAATAAGGCACAGCAATTTAAAAACCAAACTGAAGATGCTTAATTAAACATTTATTCACAGTATAAATAAATTCCATCTTTATTAGCTGTTTATCCCTTTATAGAAAACTGCAAAATAACAACAATAACAACAAGAAAAATCTGTGTGAAAAAAAACCCAGGTAAACCTAACATATTAGTCACTCCCTATGAAAACATATGAATAGAAATAGTAAGATTATGAAGACAAAATGTAAAATGATTATCATGGAACTAACTTCTTTTTGAAAATTTAAATGCATAAATTAATATAATCAAAGCCAAGACAAATAAATAATAAATAGTTCTATAAACCAGGTAGAAGTCTTAGAATTTTATATTCTTGAAACACTCCCAGTGGAGCCACACCATCATTTTAGATAATCACACTATTTTAAATATTACTTTAGCCAGGCACAGTGGCACAATAATCCCAGCAGCTTGGGAGGCTGAGTTAGGAGGATCATGAGGTCAAAGCCAGCCTTAGCAAATTTGCAAGGCATTAAATAACTTAGCAAGACTGTCTCAAATAAAATATAAAAAGAGCTGGGGACATGGCTCAATGGTTGAGCTCTCCAGGAGTCAGTCAATCCCTGATGCCAAAAGAAAAAACAAAAACAAAAACCTTTTTAATCTCAAATTACAGGGTTACAGAATATTTCAAAAATAGTATAAAAAGTTTTTTGTAGTTCAGTAGCAAAATTGGCTTCTTCTTCTTCTTCTTCTTCTTATTATTATTATTACTAACTAGATTACAGAATTCAATCAGTTTTCACCATTTTTTAACTTTTCATGCACCTGTGTGTGTCCCAGAGGTGCATGTGCACCACACATTGGACTGTTCCATACACATGCTTATGTGACTACCACCATAATCATGATAAGAACACTTCCATCATCACTTCTTCCTTTATACTACCCTCTTTGCATTCACTGCCCCTCCAAACCCATCCATCCCCAGGTAAACATTAATTCATTCTCTATCTCTACAGTTCAGTCAAGAATATTAAACACTTTGATATAATAAATATTTGAACAGGTAACACATTCATATTCTTTTAAAACTGTTACTGAGGTATAATTGACACAATAAGCTCCATATATATAAAGTGTACAATCTGAGAAGTTTTGACATGTATAAACCCTTGAAATCATAATCAAAATAGTGAACATTTTCATTACCCCAAAAGTTTCTTTATGTCCTTTTGTAATCTCCCTCTTTATTTCTCCCTGTTTTCTCAACCCAACCCAAGGCAAGCTCTGATCTGTTTTCAGTCACAATAGTTTGCATTTCCTAGAATTTTATATAAATGGAATCATTGTTATGTACTCTTTCATAATTATTTTGAGATTTATTCAATTTATTGCACACATCAATAGTTCATTCCTTTCTGTTGCTTAGTATTCTATCTGGATATATCTCAATTTACTTAACTATTTACCTCTTGGATTCTTGAGTTGTTTCCAGATCTAAGCTATTACAAATAGAGCTGCTGAGAATACTTGGGTACAAGTCTTTGTATAGACATATTCTTTCATTTTTTAATGGGAAATACTTAGGAGTGAACCAACTTAGATTCACACAGTGGTAGCATGCCTTGCGTTTTTTAGAAAGTAGCAAACTACCTTCCAAAGTGGTTGTGCTATTTTACATTCCTATCAGCAATGTATCAGAGTTAGTTGCTCTAAATCCTAACACTTGGTATGATCACTTGGTATGAAAAATTTTAGACCTTCTTATAGATGTATGGCAATATCTCACTGAATTTCCCTAATGGTGGATGTTTAATAACTTTCAAGTGCTTATCTATCATTCATGTATCTTTTTTTGAAATATCTGTTCGATATTTTACCCATTCTTGTTACTGGGTTGTTTCCCTAATGAATTTTGAGATTTTTTTAAAACCCATTCTAGAAAAAAGACATTAATCACAAAAGTGGTTTGTAAATATTTCCTTCCAGTCTGTTGATCATTTCTTTATTTCTCTTAATGCCTTCGAAGAATGCACATGTCAATTCTAATAAAGTACAATTTACCACTTTTGTCCCTTTATTGATTATAACTTTTGTTCCCTGATCCCCCTGGTACTTGGAATCAAACCTAGAGCCTCATGCATGCTAGGCAAGTGCTCTACCATAGAACCAACCCTTCTGGATCACACTTCTGATGTTAAATTTAAGAAATTTTTGTGTAACCCAAGATCACAAAGATGACTTTTTACGTTTTCTTCTAGCTTTCTAGTTTTAGAGTTTACATTTAGATCTATGATCCATTTTCAGTTAATTTTTATATATGGTGTGAAGTATGGATAAAATAGTTTTCATTTTTACACATGGATATCCAATTATTCTAGCACAATTTGTTGAAAAGATCATTCTTCCTTAGCTTTCAGTTTTATTGAAAATGAAATATAATATATCCTTAAGTTAACTATTTGAACACATAGCACATTCACCTTATTTTTTTAATGTACAAAAAAATGTAAAAAAATCTCTCAGCCATAGTTTCCTTCCTCAAAAATTTTGCCAGCTTATTATAAACACAATGCATATACAAATAAATATGCATGTATATATTGTTTATTTCCCTGCCCTTTTTGCATGCAAACAGTAAAATACTATCTATTTATTTCTGAACCTTGTTTTAACCTAATAATATACATATCTTGAAGTAGATTACAAGCTAAGATACATGTGATTTATCTAGCCAGTCTCATTGATTGGATTCTGGTTACTTGCAGCCTTTTGCTATTCTTCAGTAAGTAATCTTTAAACAAGTCATGTGTATAAGCTACTAAATATGTAAGGAAAAATCCTAGAAGTTAAATTGTGAGATCTAATTTTGTCATTATTACCAAGTTGTACTCCATAGGAATTTGTACCATTTATGCTCCCAACAGCAACCAAGAATGTCTTTTTCCCACACCTTTCTCAACATGTTTATATTTCCTTAAAATTTAACCTGCAACATTTAAAATACTTTAACTTTTTCTGTAAGGATTCCAGAATAGTGCAAAGAAGCCAATACATTGGTTCTAAAGAACTATTGATTTTTTTTTCTAAAAAATAATACGTTTTAATTTTTAAAATTTTACCAGTGTTTACAAGATATATTTACACACACACACAAACAATATTGCTAATGAAACTGTTTACACAAAGTATCTAAATAGTAGTCTACTTCATAAGATCATCTATAGTACTTTTTATTTTTAAACTTCCAGCAAAGATGGATGCTCTAGTAAGTTCTCTCTGGAAAGTATTTACCAATGTTCAATTTCATGGGGATTCTTGGATTAATGTATTTCTATTTTTTAATATTTATTTTATAGTTGGACAAAATACCTTTATTTCACTCATTTATTTTTTACATGGTGCTAAGGATTGAACCCAGGGTCCTGCATGTGCGAGACGAGCACTCTATCGCTGAGCCACAACCCCAGCCCCTATTTCTATTTTTAAATCAAGACTTATTCAAGCATTTTAGCTCAAATGTTGAAATTAGTTAGAAATTTTGAATTTTTAAAAACTCAATTAGATTTATAAAAACTCAATTGTAACTCAAGCTAAATTTTCTATGCCCAAATGAAAATTAGCTGATGGCCAAGAATGGTTTCAAAATTTACATCAGTTTTTATTATTTGTTAAGAACCAATTTATTTGTTGTTATGCATATCTTTAAGTATTATCTTCCTAGATTGTTACTGCTTTCTTCATTATTATATAAATCTGAAGTTTCCCTAAGATTTTATTTGTGTTCCTTACTTACCAAATCCTGTTTAAAACAATTTGGTGATTCATCATTTAGTAAGGGTCTTGAGGCAAGAATGTCTATTTTGCCTTCTAATCTTCCCTCCATAGTTTTAATAGCATTCAAAAGTGTCTTTAGAGAGATTCTGGAGTCTCCAATCTCCTGAGATGTTCTCACAGAAGGCAGTGTAGGTGCAAAACTCACACGGCGTGTGGAGTTTGGAACAACACTGGGCAAACCAACTGCTGAAGTTCTCTCCTTCACATTATTTACATAAGGCCTAGAGCTTTCAAGGGATTTTGAAGATGCTGGCCTCTCTGGAGATTTCCTTCTTCTTGGTGGCATCACCATTTATAAACAAAATAAAAAATTAACTAAATTTAGCGCTATTTTTCAAGGAATTATTTCTCTCAGAGAAACAGCAATAAAAATCAGCAGCCACAATAAAAAAAAAAATGTTTGGAAATGTGTTCCTTTGCTTTCAGAATGAAGAGATCACACTATAAAGTATGACCTAGTAAAGAAATAGGCCTTAAACCAAATTTCCTGTAGGAGAGCGTATCTAATGAGGTCACTCTTACAACTTTGTGACCTCATCACTCATCAGTAGAGCAAGTAGCTAGAACTCCATGAGTATTCCACTGGAAGACATATTCTAGTATCTTGGTTACAGGGGGCCCATACACACAAATATTGTAGATACAGAAATCATACATGCTTACACCTAGAGTTGAAGATTTTTAAAATAACCTAATAATCTGTAATCATTAAAAGAACCACTTTCTTTTGGTAACACATTCCTGGGTTAAGTTCTTCACTAAATGTTTTATATATTTTGCTTGTTTAACTTTTCTCTATTAATTTGTTGAAATGTTATGTGACCTACAAAGGTTTCAGCCTCAACAGTCATCTTGCTGATAAGAAAACATCTTCACTATTAATACTTCTTTCAGGTGAGCCTCTGACTGTTGCAGGTATACCTTGTTGGCACTGAGTTCTGAGTTTGCCTATCACTCAAAAAACAGATACTTGTTCCTCCCATCTGCTAAGATTTTTTAGGCTCAAATTAAAAAACCAATTCCTTTATGAAAGCATTTACCAATGCTTCCAATCATATTAATGCTTCCTATGCATGCTCATTAATATAATCTATATTTTTTCTGAAAGGCATAACTTTCTATTCTATAATAAGGTTTATTAAGTACATTCCTAAACATCTTTAGAAGCAAGTTGAATGTCTTGATTCTGCTTCAGGCACCTTTATAATATGAATTCCTCTGTGGCCTAGTAGAATCTTGTACACAGTAGTGCTTAAAAATGTTTGTTGAATCAAGAGAGGATATTCATCCTTATGGAATTGTATGGTAAAGTAGGGAAAAGGGCATCAAACAATTTCTTAAAAACTAAAACAACAGAACAGCAATCAGACAGCAATCAGCTTTTGAAGTTATTAAACATACGTGAGCATATTTGGCCTCTAGAGCCTTATTCAGCTTGCGTAGATGTTCATTCTGTAAACTGGTTTCAGTAAAACACTGCAGTTGTTCTTCTAGCTGTTTAACTTTTGCCTAGAAAGAACATAGAAAAATAATGAACTTCACAATTTCCAAGAAGAGAAGATGTAAGTTTTGCAAAAAAATTAACAGAGGACACTTGAAACTTTCAAAAAAAAAATCTTCAAGTTTTCTAATCATGCAAAGAATTTTATTTCAACTCACAGTTAAAAGTATATTATAGCCATTTAAATGTACTGAGATAACTCATTTGGTTTCTATTGCTCATGGAAAATACAAATCTATATGATATATAAACTTAACAATGAGATTTTGTATTTAATATATTTCAATTTTAAAGGAATTTTAGTACCTGGCATTCAAAAATCTTTGAATATGGATAATTAGCATTGTCAATGTGCAAGAAATAGAAATACATTATTGTTTTTTACTGAAAAAGAATTAGAAAAGTTGAATAATTGAAATTCAACTCCATTATATTTTAAAACTAACTCATAAGGATAACTATACATATTTCTCTTTAAAAATTATCTTGTGGGATAAAAACAACATATACTTACAAATATGCAAATTCTGTAATTTGCCATATTTTCTTCCTCTTAGTTCTCTTATATAAAAGAACAATTAACATTACTGAGCCTATCCCTGAATCAACAAATATGTATCTAATTTTTTTTGTTTTGTTTTTGATACCAGGATTGAACTCAGGGGCACTAGATCACTGAGCCACATCCCCAGCCCTTATCCACATTTTTAAATTTATAAATGTTATTTAATTTTTTCTTGATATTTTATTTGCTATCTGTGGACAGCAAACACCCTTTTGGCTGTAGCTATTAGATTTTCAGGAATTGTTAAAAATTTGAGTGCTAATAGGGTAGAAAAAAGCTTTGTCTTAGGAAATCTCTTTTTAAATTTTTTATTGGTTCATAAGTTATACATTACATTAGGATTTATTTTGAGATAATTATAAATGCATGGAGTTAAATCTCCAGTATTTTACTTACCCTCCCTGTTTCCTTTTCTCTAGTCTACTGAAGATCTATTTTATATTATTAAAAAAATTAGTGTCTTCTGGGCATACATAATATGATTCACTGTAATATATTCATATAATGTATACTGATAAGTTAGGTTCAAACATTCCACTGATTTTTCCATTACCCTGTCGTTCCTCCTTCTCAGTTCCCTTCTTCTACATCCCCTGATCTTTTAGACTACCTTCCATATATCAGAGAAAACATTCGACCTTTGATTTTTGGAGTCTGGCTTAGGAAAGCTCTCTTATTTCATCAGCAGAATACTTGTTTCTTTCATCTTTGTCAGTTTCTGCCAATCTCTTCCCACAGTATACAGTAGAAAACATGTGCTGTGGCTCTCCAAATCATTAGTAAAAATTAATCATGGTTTTCACTTAAGGATAAGAATTAAAATGGTATCTCTAAAGAGAGGTATTGATTCAACAATTATCTATTTTAAATATAAACCACTGTTAGTCCACAGAACCCAAGGAAAAATGAACTTTATGACTAAGAAGACTTTAATGTTTGCCTCTCTTCAAGTAATACAAAGTCTATTCCCCAATAATACTTAGATAATTCATCCTACTTGATCCCATAAGTGCCCAATAAATTGCCTTGAAACTCTAGACAGCATGTTCTTATTCATAAAGCACTTTGATATTTATATGGAGTCTCTCACTTGGCAAAAATTAACAGGACATTCAAAATGGGAAGAAACAAAGAAGAATGGGTTCGAAGCAAATAAATACTGCTGCCTCTCAGAGGTCTGGTGTTTCTGTGATCATTAAAATCCAAGCAGTTTCTATAACTGTCTTAACAGCCAGTCTTAGGAATAGAAATAATTTAGGTCAAGGCCATACACTCATATTGTTTCAACTGGTCTAAATATATACATATGTATATAACTCTAACTATATTAACAATAGAGAAACAGATAACTAAGAAATGGAGGGTGGATGCAAGATGGTGGGCGGAATAGAGGTAGTCCTCTTTCTGGCTGCTCTGCGGCAGGAAACCAAGAAAGCAGACAGCTTATCCACAAGGTCTTGCCTAGACAGAATACAACATCTCAGAGAGTGTGAGAAGACCCCTATACAGCGGATTTTCACAGAAATCACAAGTGCTGCAACCACACATGCAGAAATCAGAGCCTCTGTGCTTGGGTAAGTTCTAGCTCATGCAAGACTCACAAATGGCTTAGCAAAATCACCTATCAGCACCTCTATCACAACCTATCACAACTCCAGACTGCTCTCTGCTCCCACGCAGGTCAGTCAGCTGCTACTGATCCACGGCACAAGACCATCCCCCCAGCTGTCCCCACATCACCAGACACGCTGGAAGCAGACCAACTCCATCCTGGAAAACCTTCCTCGCCATTTTTGGTGGGCATGGCTATCAGATGGGATCACTATTTGAGCAGGTACCTGATTTCCAATTCCCTGCCCCTCCCCAGTGGTGATAACTCCGCTTGGTTGGACAGGAGTGCAGTTCGAACAGGGCACTGCCCACCTGGTGTGAGCCTGGGGTGAGAGGTCCTGCAGATGGGACCTGATAAGAAAGAGATGGGAGGGGACTAAAGTCTGGAGCATAACAAAGAGACCAGGATCTGTGAAATCTCCAGGCAAGAGAGGGAGACCATACCAGGGGCTCAAGTCAGATGAGTGGTCACAAAAAAAGATGCGTGAGGTGCTATTTCCCTGCTGGAACTGGTGGGCGGCAATCCCCACTTCCAGACGCTCCACACCAGGTCCAGTCTTTTCACCCTGGTTACCTACACCATCCTGAGGGCAGAGACACCAGCTTAAAACAGACAACTCCACCTACTGGATGAGAAGAGAAGCAGGAAAGAAAAGGATCTCTAAGAGTATTTTTTTTCCTCCTCCTTCTACTTTTTCTTCTTTCTTTTCTACCCTTCTATCCTCTGGCCCTCACATCCCCGATATATGTATAAACAAGAACTTTGCATAAAATAGGACTTTGAGGATTGAGTCACCTGAATAATATAATATAGAGGGGTTGCATGAGCCTTTTTTTCTTTCTTTCATTCTTTCCCTTTTTTTCTCTTTCCTCTTCTTTCACCCTCCAAATTTTACTAATTTTACATCCTATATTTTTCTAAATACAGGTGTGTTTGTTTTATGTACTCTACTATCTACCCACGAACTTGTCTACCCTAAATTACTCCCTGTCTATTCCCCTGCTACTAACCATCTTCATTAAATTTCTCCTCCACATTCCCTAAGATGTAGTATCTCTATACCCTCACATCTTTTCCCCTCAACATATTGTCCTATGCCTGATACCCAGTTCACTGTCCACTGCCAGAATGTAAATCTTTTAATGAAACTACTGATTATATTTTAAATAATAATTGAATCCAACATTTCTGGACATGAGACTAAACTGTAAATGTCTTAATAACAACAATTTGTTCATAGGTGATATATTGTTGATATGGGGACCTGTTAACATTGTCCTTCCCCATAAAGGAGGGATCTTGGAACCCTACAAGAGCCCTACAAATCTATAGGATAAAAACAATAACACACCAGATCCACAGAGCTGGAAAGGAAAACACATGAGCAACATGAAAAGACAATGGAAGAAAGTACCACAAACAAATCAAGACAACATATCATTGGCAGCATTGGCAGCTACAAAAGAAAAAATGACAGAAAAAGATTTCAGGACATACATGGTTAAAGTGTTTTGGGATTGCAAAGAAGACATAAAACAACAAATACATGCAGTGAAAGATCACTTCAACAATGAGCTACATACACAAATCGAAGAAGCAAAAGATCACCTCAAAAGGGAGATATAGGTTCTTAAAAAAAACGAACAAAAAACCCAGAAATCATTGAAATGAAAGAAATAAAAAACCAAATTAAAAATTCAAATGAAAGCATCACCAACAGAGTAGACCACTTAGAAGATATGATATCAGACAATAAAGATAAAATAAGTCATCTTGAAAAGAACACTGACCACACAGAGAAAATGATAAGAAACCATGAGCAGAACTTTCAAGAATGGGATAGCATAAAAAGACCAAATTTAAAATGTATTGGGATAGAGAAAGGTACAGAGATCCAAACAAAAGGAATGAGCAATCTATTCAATGAAATAATATAAGAAAACTTTCCAAACATGAAGAATGAATTGGAAATCCAAGTTCAAGAAGCCTACAGACGGCAAATGTACAAAATCACAACAGATTCACAACAAGGCACATTATAATGAAAATGCCCAACATACAGAATAAGGAGAGAATTTTAAAAGCCACAAGAGAAAGAAATCAGATTACATATAGAATAAAACCAATTAGGATAATGGCACAGTTTTCAACACAGACACTGAAAGCTAGAAGATCCTGGAACAACATATTTCAAGCTCTTAAAGATAATGGGTGCCAACCAAGAATCTTGTATCCAGCAAAATTAAGCTTTAGATTTGAAGATGAAGTAAAAACCTTCCACGATAAACAAAAGTTAAAAGAATTTATAGTTAGAAAATTGGCACTACAGAATATCCTTGGCAAAATATTTCATGAAGTGGAAATGAAAAACAGCAATGAAAATCAGCAGAGGGAGGTAGTACACTAAAGGAAAAACTAATCAAAGAGGAAAACCAAGTCAAGTTAAATAAAAAAATAAACAAATATGGCTCGAAATACAAACCATGTCTCAAAAGTAACCCTAAATGTTAATGGCTTAAACTCACTAATCAAAAGACATATGCTAGCAGATTGCATTAAAAAAAACCCAATATGCTACCTCCAGGAAACTCATCTGATAGGAAAAGACATACACAGACTGAAGGGGAAAGGTTGGGAAAAATCATACCCCTCACATGAACTATGGAAGCAAGCAGGGGTTAGCATACTCATATCAAATAAAGTAGACTTCAAGCCAAGGTTAATCAAAAGGGATAAAGATGGACATTACGTACTGCTCCAGGGAACCATACACCAACAAGACATAACAATCAAATATATATGCCTCAAACAATGGTGCAGCTATGCTCATC